TTGCAGGAGTGCAAAAATTAAAACCAGACCCACAGTTCAGCTCAGTTCCCAAACATCCAGACTTTGAGAGAATAATGTGTCCGCTTGGAAACCATCAGGGGAAAACAGAGAGAAGAAGCTCTGGGCACAATGGTCTTCAGGAGGGTCTTGGTTTAGGGCGAATTTAGGAGGAAACTTCTGAATGGGGTCCCTCTATAAAGCAAATTTAAGCAGCCCTTTTCCCTAGTGGTTTGGGAGATAGAAACCTTTTTTGAGAGAAAAAAACTGCCTATTTAACAAGCAAAGTATTTACGAACATGAAAATAATAATAATAATAATAATAATAATAATAATAATAATAATAATAATAATAATTGAATATTCTGTTGTTCTGAAGAGATAGTAAATTCAGAGTCTCTTTTTCATGGGGTGTAGCTTAGCTTGCTCAGCTTTTCCAGGGTTTGGGTCTGGTGTCCTGGCCACAGTGCAGCTTGGGGGGGCCCTGGATGACAGTCCTGGTGTTCTCGGACTGAACAATAGCTGAACCATTCCAAAAACCTTCTGTCCCCAGCTAACTAAAAAAAAACTAGCTAAAAGCAAAGGAGAGCTCTCTCCCACTGTCCGTGTGCAGACAGTACAATTGTGAGAAGGATGCAGGAAGCGAGTGCAGTTTCTGCTGCAAACAAACTGCGGCCTCTTCTCCCCACCTTCGCTCTCAGAACCAGCCTTAAAGGTGCAGAACTTAACATCCAGCAGAAACAGAACAGGTGACTGGGGATAAAAGCATCATAAAGTCACCCCAGGACAAGAAGAGAGATTAATAACCTGACTCAAGCCCAGTGTGCCAAGTGAAGCCTGGAGATGGTGTCTTTGCTGTAGAGAGGAATAAAGACACCCTGTATTTTGCTAACTGGTATCACTTTCACCCCTGGCACACACACATACTAACTCATACTCAAGTAATTGACAACTTTCCTGTGGTTTTGCTATCATTGAAACACACTGTAAGAATAGATACATTAATTTCATTTTTTTTTCCTTAGTGACTTGGCTAAAAGCAAATGCTTTTTCAATGCTTTGAATGTTTTTGGGGTTTTTTTTAAGATATGAAATAGAAAAATAGAACCAATTTTGGCATAGCTGCCATATTCCACTTCTTTCAGCTGTGTTAACATTTTCAGTAAGGCCTACTGTGCTGCTCTCAGGGATTACATGAACAAGAAGGGAGTCTCCACTACTTTTGGAGATTCCAGGAGTCCCTCTCTCTCTGCTGCCTGCTCAGGGACTCAAGGTGGGTCAAATATCTAGCCTACAAACAAAGATTCATGAACAGAACAGATGGTGTAACACACACACAAGTACTCAGTATTTCAAAAATGTACCACCCTCTTCCTTGTTTCAGTGTGTTTTCAGAGATGTTCTGTCTCTTCACAAGAAGCAGAGGTTCTGAAATACAACTGCTACTCCTTTGTGTGTGTTGATGGCTGTTTCAAGCATCAGTTCTGCTCCATGGTTTTTATTGTGCTATTTTAACTTCACTTCCTTCACATGATCTTCTAATGCAGCATCCTCCCCAGTTAGCATGGTTAATTATGCAGCCACCCTGCTTGAAGAGGTGAAAAAACATAGGCTTTTACACAACTAATGGGTAGCATTTTCCAAAATTCCAGATGAAAAGATTCCCTTGACACCTCTATCCATGCATTATATGATTTCTTTTTGATTTGTGACTTGAAATTCCATGACATATAAAATCAGTTATTTGCAAGTAGTTTTCCTTTCCCTTAAAGAAGGGAATAAAACATTACTTGCTAGAAGCCCTTTCTTCTATAAAGGACAAGCTGGTTTTTTTTTGAGGGCTGTGCACTTGCTCTGAGATTTTCCTCTTTCTACACAAGAGTTCATCCTCTGCTCTCAGCCAGAGGGGAGAGCCAGGCAGAGCAGCAGGGAAAACCAGCCAAGTACAACCAGGGAAAATTCAGACACCTCTTTCCTTCAGTTCTTTGACACACACCAACAGAAAGAATTATGACTGAGAACACCATCAATGTGATCTGCTATTTGATTTTTAATTTTTGTATAGAGAAATTGTTCCAGTATACAGATAATGATCAGAAAGGTGATGAGGTTTTGTCATAATCAATATAAGCTTTGAACCAGTGCTTAGAATGGTTAGCACTTTAATACAGACAGAGATATTTTGCTCTCCAGCATCAGGCCAGAATATTAACCAGTAGAAATACTTATTGACAGACCTTTCACAATCAGGTTTTAGTTGGCATAAGACTTCTCAAGTCAGAGATAGGTACAAGGATTTCAGTGGGGGAAAAAAAACCAAAAAAACCCCGTAAAGTCAAAAGACTTTAAGCAGCTTAGAATGTATAAAACTTTTTGAACAGATGATGAACATCAGTGAAACAGAAAAGACAGCCTTGTCTACACAATCATCTACAGTTCAAACTCCTCTGAAAACAACAGCGGGATAAAGTATAAATAGAAAACCAAAAACTGACTAAGTCTGATATCTTCAGCCTCTTCACTGGTGTCAGGTGTTCTCATATTGCCTGGTTCTGCATCCCTCTCGCTGTAAACTGATTATGTGCTTTCCTAGGTTTACTGAAGTCCTGTTGAGATGGGGAGCTTGAGTTAAAAGCATAATCCAGTGAAGACCAAAGTGATTGTGGCAGAGAATGAGCATGTGTATGAAACCTGAAACAAAAAGCAGAGGAATCTCTGCAGATCCCTTCTGCTGCTGCTCATCCTTAGGTTTGCCCTGCAGGCACCGCACCCAAAGACTTGGACCTGGCCTTGGATATACAGGTAACACCAGGCAGGGAACAGGGGTGGGGGGGGAAAGGGAACAACTTGCCTTCCTACTCAAGCCTTTACAAGTAGCAACAGCTCCAGCTGGACAACTTTGCATCTGTGTTAATTAATGCAGCTCAGCAGTTAGGGAACTGTGCATCTTATGAACCAGCACTTGAGTGAAACCCCTCTCATCTGAAAGAAAGTCATTTACTTTGCCAAGCCAACTCAATTTCACTTTTCTAAAATAGAAAAATAGACCAGCTAAGCCAAAATGTAAATTTACAGAGTAATTTGGAGAAATTAAAAACTACTTTTAACAATCAGAAGGAAAAATAAGAAGAGGGAAAATTATAATGTACTAAGTAGATCAGAATGTGAGCCATCCATGCTAATGCAGAATTCTTTCTCATTTGTTTCCCAGGAGTGTCTTCAAAAATATTGAAATTTAACCTCTATACCTCAGACTGGCAGTAAGAATGACAACAATAATAATAAATCACCATATTTCAAAATCAAGAGAAAAACTAATAACTTAAAAACTCTTAATAACTTGTACTTATTAAAACTTATTAAAACATTTCAGTGAGATCATAAATTCATTGAATTTTTGAAAATAGCAACCAGTCAAGTCCTGTGACAATGCTTTAGGCTTACAAAAAAGTCTGACAGAAATAAAAAAATGTGCTTGCATTTTTTCAGTGTTAGTTGCTATCAATTCCACTTCTGAATCCAAAGAAGCATGTGTGTATATACAACTTAAACTTTTTCATAATGGTTTCCTTCCTCCCACAAAAAAGAAAAAAGAGAAATTCAAAAAGAGGTTGTGTTGTTTTACCAGTGCAGAATATTCATAAACTCTGAATTGGTTCCTTTCTGGTAAAGTATATAAAAATCCTGTGGCCCCTCACTTGCTCCTTAACCTCACTGAACTTTTCAGACTCACTGTAGCTAGTCCCCAGCAAAAGTTCAGAGCCTTAGCACATCCCTGAACCGGGCAAAATCATCAGCCCTGTGGCTTTGAATGAGTGGGGCAGCCAGGGGAAATAGAGGGAACAGAGGAAAAACTGCTGTATCACTGGAATGTTTGGCACCCCGTTGCAGGAAATGAGACAGCAAAGTCAGCTGCAGTCAAGCCTAATCCTCACTGGCAAGGGGGAGAGAAGCAATGAGACAGATGAGAAGGAAACAGCAGGGATTTCCCCTTAGCAACAATGATATTTGGAAGCATAGATATAAATTATTTTTGGGCTCCCTGGACACTCAGCAGGACCTGGGGATTAGGTGTGTGCAGGAGTTCAGAAGAAGCTGCAAGAGCTTTGAGAGGATCCTAAACTGAGTGTAAAATGCATAAATCTCTGGTCTGCTGTGAGAGGTTTGCTGCAGTGGTTTATTTTAGCTGAAACAGACTTCCTGGGACCTCTGCTTAGCTCAGTAACCATCATCGTGGCAATGTTGAAGGCACCTGCTGTCTTCACCTCCTGCTTCTCTTCACAAAGGGTATAACACAAGCACTTTTATTGTCAACGCTCATGATTATTTTGCCTGTGAAACTCAATGCAAGGGTACTTGAATCCTCTTTCGTGAGCCTCTCAGCTCAAAAGAAATAAAAACTATAGCAAAATACTCCAATTTAAGCTATCAGAAAGGCCTCTACCATTTCTTTCTGTACTTTCTGGGGGTCCAAGGCACATTGGATTATTGGAGTTGCAAAAACACTCGCTCGCGGTGAGAGACTTCTCCAGGGTCAAGCTGTTCAAGTATAAGCGATTTATTATAAGAGTAAAAGGAGGGGAGGCCCGTGTCCGCCACCAGCCTTGGCGTCCACGTGGTCTGGGGGAGGGGAGAGAGAANTCTGAGTTGTGGGCGTATACATGGTGCTCATCACCATAATGGTGTTCATCACCCTACTTAACTTGGTACCAATTATATATCATTTCCTAGCACTGTTATTCTGAGAAGGAGCTAAAAGAAATTAATTTAGCATACAAAAGTACATGTTAAAGAAGAATTAGATTTTAAGCCTTTCTACTCTTTACTGTTGTTATACCTTATGCAAGAATTAAGTGTGTTCAGAACAAGTAGAAGATTACTAGAAATCAAAACTTTTAACAGTGCAGCAAATAATACATTGCCCATATTATGCCTAATATGGGCAATGTATTGCCTAAACATACAGCAAACAGAGGCCTTTGAATACATGTTCTTTTCTCTCAAGCATTTCTATTTTGAATTTTTTTTCAGGAGACATGTGCTGTCTTGCTGGAACAGTGTCTGCAATGCGTACAGTCTAAATTTTCAAACACAATAGACGGAGCTACTGGAAACATGACTGTTGGGTTCACCCCTCTCTATCCACCCTCTTCCTCTGTGCTTTCCAGCTTGGGCCTAGTCATTGATGGAAGGACTCTAGCTTATGCCCTGGAACCTGCGCTAGAAGATAAATTTCTTGCACTAGCCAAGCGATGCCGTTCAGTACTGTGTTGTCGCTCTACTCCACTCCAAAAGAGCATGGTAGTGAAACTAGTCAGAGACAAACTCAAAGCAATGACCTTGGCAATAGGTAAATACCTCAGTTTATACTAGCCTGCCTTGATGTATACTGTGACTTGAAAATTTTGATTTTTTTGACATAGGAATAGGACCCTCCCAGCTGCCTCACAACTGAAACAGCCTTCCAGTTTAGTCTGAAAACATGTTGGACAATTCTAATATATTTATTCTAACATATTTAATCAAAACCAGGATAGAACTCTGGAGTAGTAGCTGGGATTTCTTCCTACAGAAGTTAGGTAATCAGGACCCAGTTATGCTAAGAGGTTTTGACATGTCTGAACACAGCTGTGAAGAACTGGGTTACCTTATGCTGTGCAAAACACTATTTTGCAATCACTGTGTTACACCCCAAAAAACACTCTGCTCAGTGCTGTTTCATCCAATCATGCTTAAACTCAAGGTTCTGTGTTTATCATCACAAGTCAGCCATACAGCAAAGGCTATGACTTGGCCTTGTCATTATAGAGAGTGGATTTACAGCTGGTATTATGCCACACTTACGCTTTTCCCACCTAATCACTCAAAGGCAGAGGGGAGACTTTGGCAGTCCATCTGTCTTAGGTTTGACAGGTTTCCATGTTTCTATGATTTTTACACAATGCAACTAGCTCTTCTTTCCCTATCTCAAGTTTAGGTTCATGTTTCATTAGAAGATATGATTTCAGCATATACTGACACAAGTACACTTGCTTTCATCTACCTGTGTGGTTAATTATGGCTGGAACACATGTGGGTGGGACTTGGCTGTGAGAAACCCAAGTACATATAATAATTGCCAGACTTGTGTGACATCAGCATCACCAAGTATGTATTGATTATCACAATCTTCATGCTCAGTATATTATATCTTGCTCAAATATGCCTCCCCCCTACTGAATTTATATATTTGGCTAACTGACTGTGGACATAATTGTCTGCATATGTTGTAAAAAACATCTGGGTCGTTAACTTGAATTATCCAGAATGTTTAAAAACACTAGTGGAGACTAGGCAGCTTGTATTTTCATTCTTAAGCTTATGAGTTGAGCTTAAGCTCCTGCTCAGGCTTAAAGCCTAGCTGTATGCATCCTCTCTTTCAACCAGCATGAGTTAACTTGGGTTGTGTCACACAGTCACAAAGACATCGGCTTAGTCTGGTGAGAGGATACCACTCTTAAACATGCCAGCAGCAATGGTGACATGTGGTGTGCACCTCAGCCACTGGACTTTAAAACCAAGTGTCTTGTCCTAAGCTAATACAGTATCATTTTCCATAAGTACACTGGCTACAAGTTTAAGAGGTTAATAACTAGATACTCGTTCTGGTATCCTGTCTATGGCACCTGTCACTTGTCGTGTCGTGGTAAGAAGCAGAGTAGGGGGTGGTGGTTCTGCAACCGTCCTAATTAAATCTGCCATTCTTGGGTGTATTAAAGATCTCAGACTGCTCAACCCTACTCTTGACTTTTTCTTTCATTCATCTGCTTTTTAAATTCCTTTAGTATTTTTACAGTGTAGACATTTTCATTGGCTTCAGGCCTTCTTGCACATTTAATTCTTAGTCATACCTGATTGCAGTCAGACTCTAAATCAGGAAGCAGTATTGGGGACGTTTATTCTCAGCCTTCTACTGTTTTACCACTGGTGCAGTTCAGGCCTGATACCTGAATTTTAGGTATTAAAAAGAGATGGATTTGTTTTATAGTTACTGTCCTGTGATAAAAAGGTCTAATAAGATCAGAATGTCCTGGAAATTTTGCAAGCTTTGAACCTTATATTCTAAAGGTGTATCCTTTTCTACTGCACATCTCCCTTACTATACCCAAGCAGCATTTAGTAAACGTCTCAATATACTCAACAAACACTCAATAACAACTGTTTTTCCTTTGTTTCGTTGCTGCCAACTGTTGTTGTTCTTCTAGTGACAACAAAACTGCATTTTGTCATCTTTAGGTGATGGTGCTAATGATGTCAGCATGATCCAAGTGGCAGATGTTGGTGTGGGGATCTCTGGTCAAGAAGGCATGCAGGTAAATGTTGCTCATGCAGTGGAAAGCACTCCCATAACGGAATGAAACAGCCGCTTTCTATAGGTCAGATTGTTCAGGCTGCCTCTGGACAGTCAGCACAAATAAAGGAAATGCAGCAAGTTATGCTGAGGACAAGACACTTGNAAGACGCGCTTTCATCGAAAATTTCAAGATACTTCTGGAACTCTGCTGGTTTCTTGTACTGCAATGTACTCATTTAATAAGCATAAATATGTAAGCATGTGTGGAAACTAATTTGTAAATGTGCAAAACTTACCAGAAAGGGATATAAAGCTGTCAGTGAATAAATATATCCTATGTATGGATTAAATTAGGAAAAGGCTGAGACACTTTTTAAAAGTTTGAAAAGAGAAATACACTTGAAAAACAACACTTAAAACTTTCAAATTATGTAAAAGATGCATCTTAAGCTCATTATGAGAAATAATGATTGTTAGTGCTTAAATTGGCCGTTAATTAGTGTCACTGATGAATGAGAATTTTAAGAATGCAATCCCAAGATGATCTGTAAGACAAAACTATAATGGAATGTAATATTAAAGCTCGCCAGCAGCTGGAATTTCCATTCTGGAGAAAATTCTGCACTTTGCTTCTGTTCCAGATTGGAAAAAAAAAGTGAACTAGTCTGCAAAATGATGTGGTTTTGTGCCAAGGAAACATTTGGAGAATGCTCAGTTCTGCTGTTTCAGGAATGCTACACTGTTACACAATAATATAATATATATTACTATGAATATGCTATTACTAGTAATGTTACTGTATCTATAGAACAGATTTGCGTGAACTGCAATGAATGTTAAGTCTGAAGCAAAATGCCTCAGTGCTGAAAGAGACGGGGGGAAATTACTTATCTCAACATTTGTCTTTTGAGAATATTTTCAACATTGTCATATTCTCATTGAACTTTAACTCTTTGAGATACACCCTTCTCAATAGAAAAATACTGCATTAACTTTTTTTTCACTACCTTCACTGGAATATGCACAAAGGATGACAAGGTTTCATACTAATGGTAGCTTTTAGTATGCACTTCTGATGGTGGTGGTGCAACACTGATAAACTATCCATTTTTCATATCTGAAGAGGAGAAAAAAGAAAAAAACTGTTTTATACAAGCGTATGTGCTTTCATACACGAGTATAATTCTGAAGTTCTAGTGAGTTTTTTTGCACGTGTTGAGTCAGTGTTGTCCATTTACTTTCCTTTCTCAAAATCCGAATACCATTACTTTTTGCCCTCAAAGAAATTTTACTCTTTAGTTGGAGATGCTTAGACTATCAGCGTCAAAATCCTTGTACAGCTTTTCTTTGGTGTTTATTCAATGTTGGGTTTTGTTCTTCTCAAGGTCAGAGACCGATTTGAACTGAAATCTCCAGTAAAAACCATTGAAGACTTCATACGAAGATTCACTCCAAGTCGCTTGACCGCTGGATCTAACAGCAGCAGTTCCTCTAGTCTAGCTACAAGCAAATCAATGCACAGGTTCGGTTTAAGCACGCTTTCATCTACATCTACAGATAGCACTTTATTAAAACTGGAAGAGAAGCTGGCGTACTCTGCGCAGATGAATAACTATGGCTACAGCTCCCAGCAAGGCAGGACGGCTGTGGGAGGTACACCCGAGGAAGGAGAACTCCGTTACGAAGCAGAGAGTCCAGATGAAGCTGCCCTCGTCTATGCAGCAAGGGCATATAACTGTTCTCTGGTTGGAAGGCTGTCTGACCAGGTATCAGTGGAGCTACCTCACCTGGGAACCTTAAGCTTTGAAGTATTACATACATTGGGCTTTGACTCCATCAGGAAGAGGATGTCAGTAGTGGTCAGACATCCTCTCACAGACGAAATAAATGTTTACACTAAAGGAGCAGATTCAGTTGTTATGGATCTTCTTCTCCCCTGCTCTTCAGGTATACACCTCTTACTTACTTTTGGGTGGGGGGGAGTTGGGAGGCAGTTGCTGCAGATCTCACTTACTGCCTTATCTAGCAAGTAGACTTGCCTGCTTTTCATTTTGTAGAATGGCAGTCATTACCTTTCTTTCATAATACTTTGTAATTATTGCAAATTTTCTGTAAAAAATTACTGGTTTCCAGCCTCTCAAGAATGACTGAAGACAATTTCTGTAGAAGATCTTCTACTAGCAAGCTTTATTTTAAAGGAATTTCTTGCAGCTTAGCCAAAGCAATTTACATTTCTTTAGAAAAACCTGTCTGGCAGTGCTTGGACAGTTGAGTATTTATCATATGAAACTGAAGTACATCTTATTGCTGCTTCCCTCTCTTTCATTTGTAAGTCCTTACATCCTTTTTCTGAAATATTTTTCATTAATCAGCACATTTTTTCATGTTTAACTGTGATGCTGAAGGGCAATGTGAATCAATCAGCCATCAGAACAGAAAGGTTGTGGCAAAAGATGGAGAGATGCTGTTTAGACAAGAAATCTTGGCTTCAAATACATAGTTGACTAGCAAGCAGTAGACATGTAGCTGTGAACATGGAATTTCCCTAAAGCATGGAGAATTCTCCAGCACCCAAATGTCCTAGGCAGCAGGGACAGCTTTAAATAGCTAATTGTAATCAGCTGCTTTCAAGAAGAATCCTGTAAGTTTTCAGAAGTTAGACTCATGGGTTTCAGTTTGCATTAATCAGTTTGCATCTGATTTACTGTATTTTCAACACTGAATTTCATCCAGTGTTTAAAGATTACCCCAATATGAATGGACAGAGCCCCAAAGTGCTAGAGGTACTTCCCATGTTTCACTAATGCATTGACTTTGTGGTTACTTTGACTTTAGTTGGAGTAAACAATTGTGAAAGGCTTACACTGTGTAATTTTAGTTTAACGAAACACAGAAAAATGTTGGCATTAGTTTTCTGGTTTCAGCCATATAAATCAAAGCTGAGCCAAAAAAGTTAAGAACAACTTGTCCTTAACTAACAACAAAGTATTCATGAATAATTTTCTAGCAAAGATCTGATATCACAGAAGGCACGTAGAGCATCTATGGAAACTTCTTTCCTTCAAACTACAACAGAGAACTCAATAGAGAACTTTTAGCACTGAAAAATTCTAATACCTAGAAATTAATAATTGGAAATGACTTCTCAGAATGAGAACTGAGCATTCAGGAAAGAAGAAAAAATATTTAATGCCAGCTCTTAATTTTTTTGACATCATAGACTGTGTTCAAAACTACCATGTCTATTCACAGTAGGCTCAATGGATCAAGAAATTTTCAGGGAAATCTCAGGCTGGTCTAGGACCCACCTAGGTAAAAACAGTAAGGCCCATTAGAAAATTTTAAAAAGGCAACATTATTGAAGTTGATATATGTCAGAGAAAAAGAAGCAGAATTCCTGAGGGTCACTGTGGGAATGAGCAATGTTTATAGCTGGGCAAATACAGGTTCCACCATCATTACAGGCAAGCAAATTGAAAGTGGTTCTGAAATTGTGTGGGAAGTTTTTTGTTTTGGTTTGGGTTTTTTGTTTATTTGGGGTTTTTTTAAACCAAATTGAACTATGAGTTCTGGTGTGCTTTGCTTTTGCAAGCAATGTAAAGTGCAGCCTCTAGAACACTAAGCAGTTCCCCTTGTTTTTTGTAGTCCTCTTAAGCCCCTGCTGGCTTCCGTAATTCTGTATGTTTCAGCAGATCTGTCTGAAAAACATTTGACATTTCTCTTGAGTATCTTTCACTCCTGGAACTGAATTTGCTGTCTCTGCCTGCAGTATCCTAGTGTCAATGGATATAGAGGGAGCCTCAAAAGATCTATGCTGTGGCTGTTACCTCTTTTGTGGGATCTGTCCTTGATGTTACCCAGTTCACTGGTGATGGTGGAACGTGTGTGTGAGAGACATTATGCTGCAATAATTCAGTCATTTATCATTTTAAGGAAATGACTAAATGGTGAATGGATACGACAACTAATCCCACAGCTTGGTCTTTGCTCTCTTAGTTCTTCAGGGACATGTGAACTATACACTAGTCAAGCGTGTTTCTTGAGACTTGTGTCTTCAGACTGAAGGATGAAGGCAGCACCATGTCTAAAATCTCCCAGCTCTAACACCACATGGCATGAAACAAAAATTCCTGCTTGGGAGGAAGAGTATTTTAGAATACGACAAGAGAAATAGCCTGAAATCAGAAGCAGAAATATTATGTTTTAGCTTTCTTGTGTCATATAGGAAAGTATAAATTGTCATGAGCTTCAAGATTCAAAAAGATTATGAATTGACTCTATTTGCTTTGCCTGTATATCTAGTTAAGACTGTGGAACCTAGTGTATTTTGATAGCAAACAGATATTTTCAAAAGCCTTGAAATTATTCCCAAGAGTGTATTGTTTTTACTTTATCTCAACAGTCACCATGTTCATAAATGAGAAAGTTTTACTGTTTGAGTTAATACCCACTTCATACAGGAACTGTGAACATAAATCATTGAGAAAACAATGACTGTGCTGGCTTTATGCAGCTCAAGATTATGGAAGGAAATGAAGAAGCAGAAAGCCACTAGCTCTCTATCATTCCTCTGGAGGGGACATCCTCTGTTTTTCACTGACATGGTGCATGTGGTCACACTGCTCAGAGCAGACACTGCATCCCAGCTAAAAAAATCTCCACAACTGCATTTTGTCTGCAAGAGATTCCTTCCCCCCTTCTAACTTCTGAGCACAAGATAAATCTCAGGGTAGGACTGATGAGGCACATGGATGGCTATAAGGGCTTCAGCTGTCATTGGTATGCTGTAAATGAGAACTTGCACAGAAAATAGTATACACATCTCTACTTGTAGAGAGTTGTGTCCTTGTTCATTGAAGGAGGTGTGAGCATTTGACATTATGATCACTGCATTATCGCCTGTGGTATTCAGAGAGATCTGAAGTGATTAACACCACTTAACCTTAAAGGGATAGAAACAGCTTTAGATGTGTTTAAGCACCTATTGACGTTTGCATCATTTAAAGCCAGTGAGCCGCTGAAATAGCCACTCCCATAAGATAATTTCATGTGGGATATGCAAAAAATATGGCATTTTTCTCTAGAATGTTAATGTCTCATGATAAATTAGGAAGAATGCTTGCCTGCTTTATTTTTCTAAAGTTAAAAAAAACCCTCACTAATACAAGAAGCCTTGAAGATTTGCTGCAGTACTTCTCCCAGAAAAAAAAAAATGTTTTATGTAATACAGCAAAGTCACATGAGCCAAAAAGGTTATAATGCATTAATAGAAAAGTAGCAAAATGAAACTGTGTTAGGCTGCTGGTTCCTTATATGCCTATTTCTATATGTAGTGTAAGAAAGGGCTTTCCAATTGCAAATAATACTTGTAGGGATGTTCTTCTGGAATAAAATATCTGTATTGTCCCTTTGAGACAATCAACAACAATCAGCATAGGTGGTATTAATAGGTAGATGGACAAGCCCATGAGAATATTCAGTATTCACCACATGACTTTAATCAGATGGGACTGAAATGAAGATATGCAGGAAATAACCACAATCTTCATAGAGTCCCTTAGGAACAACTGTGTATGTATAATCCCAGCTTTGCAGACCTAGAGAGGATAGAAAAGTCTGTAAAGGTGAGAATATAGCTGTACAGTGAGTAAAATCTTCTGATACATGGTTGACATAAATGGAAAAAAACCCCAGAATATTTGGATTCTAAACTCACAGTTCCCTTATTTCTACAGAATCAATACATGTATGTGTTTGTGTTGGAGCACCTGAATGCCCAATTGCCAGTCTGCTGCTGTATAAATACGAAAGTACTGAATGCTATGTAATTTTATGGACAGGCAGATATATGTATGCAGTCAACATATAGCAAGATCAAATTCAGTATGAGTGCACACTGGGTAAATGGGCACTGAAAAGTATAAACAGTAAGATACTTATGCCATCTAATTTATATACCTGTATTAAGTGCTTAGCATAATGGCATAGTGCCCACAGGCTCTCAGAATGAGAGGTGAGCACATTCAGTGCTGAACTGAGAATGTAGAAGGTCCCTTGAGGTGCCCAACCTTCTGGTGGAGTGGTCACCTGACTGAGTGACTGGTTACTGCACAAGTACCAGTAACTCAAAAACTGGATTTAGTAACAGCTTCGGTTACAGAATTATATCCTGAAATGATTCTGCATCCCCTGAAAATATTCAGACTTCAGTAAAAAAAAAAAAGTGTATCACATCAGGGAGTAGGAAAGCCTGCCAGAAGGTACCAGTTTTCTCACTCAGTGGTTCCAATCTAAAAACTTATCCCTGGTGTGTTTACTTAAGGGCTAACCTTGAAATTCATATTACTAAATATTACTACCACAGTACCTTTTTCAAGACTTATCTCGATCCTAGATGATAAAAAAGATGCATTATTGCTTGTTTTTAATTTTTAAAAATCACATCATTTCATGTAATAAGATGGAACAAAATGTGCTGCTATCATATTTGTTACTGTATGTTGATCACAGGGTGAGCACACTGCACCAGTCCCAACTGAAGAGAGAAAAAAAACAAATCCTCAGTCCTCATTTTGAGTAGTTACACATAGCTTTAAGAGAAGGGTAAAGTTATGTGGAAGTTTTGCTAATGAATCCAAGGAAGAAGCTAGCTGTGAGGTCTGCAAATGTAAATTCTCCTCTAAATGAAATCACAGACATACCCAGAACTTCTTGCATTGATTCAGGCTGATAGGAAGTACCAGTAGAGCACTAACAAGACAAAAGGACCTTCATGCACTCAGATATACAAGCACTGTTTCCACTTCTTTTAAGATATTAGCCTTGGTGGAAGATTGAGTGCTATTTTTAAGTGTTGTTTTTCTGCCCATGATGAGCTGTGGAGAAGCAGAAAAACATTTGCTTGTAGTGTATTTGAAATCATACTTCTATTTCTGACAGTATTGTTTGCTGTGAAGATTATCATGATTTCTTAAAATATTCAGGCAAAAGAAATACCTAAAGAGTAAAAAAAAAGATCTTTCTCACATAATTCACAGTGACTTTTTTGAAGAAGACAGAAAAGAGAACAAAAAGACTTTTCTTCTTTTTTTTCTTTTTTTTTTTTTCTTTTTTAATGGAATGTTTTACTTCAGTTTCCCAAAAAATATCAACACCTATTAAAAAGTATCAGTTATAAAGTGATGGTACAGTGAGTACTATATACAAGTTTTTATTCTCTGAGGCAATTCAGCTGCTGTTATTTTTCAACGAGTAATTTATGGTTTTATTCTTATCTAGATGACCCTCGGGGCAAACATCAAAAAAAAATCCGAAGCAAAACCCAGAATTACCTTAATCTTTATGCTGTAGATGGGCTGCGGACCCTCTGTATTGCCAAAAGAGTAAGTAAATGCAGGCTTTTAGTTTGCTTTTAAAGCGAGTCTTGACAAAGATTACTGAAGGTATTTAGTATTTTATTGTTCTTGATTCATAACCTCTTTTTCATTTTATTCAATAAAGTATGAATGCCTTCGCATCATATTGACTGTGCCCTCACATGCTCTTTGTAATAGGTTCTCAGCAAGGAAGAGTATGGTTGTTGGTTAAAAACTCATTTAGAAGCAGAATCCTCTATTGAAAATCGCGAAGAACTTCTGTTTCAGTCAGCACTGCGGATAGAGAAGAATCTGCATCTGCTAGGTAATGAAATGAGAGCTGGACATGAAATTAAAATGTGATAAAAATTCTGGAAGCTTGGCTATGAAATCCGTTCTTCCCCTTAAATTGTTTCTGACAGTATAGAAATTGGCTTCCGTGTGACTTTATCATGGCTGTCATTTGCAGCACCACAAAGGAATAGGATATAATTAACATAAAAGACATACCCTGTTTTCCTTGCTCCTGCCAACATTTTAGCACTAGTGAAACAAGCGGAGTAATACTAGGGATGAATTTGACACAATATCATAAATGGGAGCTGCTGCTCTAAACAAGAGGAGACCTGGCCCAAGCTGTCTACAGAATTTCATTAGTTCAGTGCTGCTTCAACATGTCAGAGACTTCCCTGACTCCAGGGGCACCAGAGACACGCATAAAGCAAAACTCACAAACTGCATCTGTGAGAGGCATCAACTTTCATATACATCAGGTTGTGATACACAGTGCACTCAGGGCCTGTGTATCTGTGGCAAAGGGTTTCACTTAAAATCAGTGCATGTAAAAAGTATTGCAAGAGCTAAGTCATACTCTTGACTTGAGATGTTGAAAGCACTGAAATTCTAAAATGTATTTACATATACTGGTACACCATGCATCCAACTGCTTTCTCTGGCAAAGAAACTGGCACAGCCATACCACTGTTGGAGAAAAAGACCTTCACCAATTGCCCGCATGCCTGTCTCTGGGAGACAGATCCGCCTCACCCAACTTCTAATGCATCTACTACAGATCTCTAAGGCTCAACATATAACCAGTGGGGAGACAAAAAAAGTGCGGTTCATTTGGCCTGATTTAGGTACCTGCTTTAGGATTACATTAATTGTGCCTTTAAAGTGTCTGGTTTTCTTCCCTGACTTAAAGGGGGGCATGAATTTCCTAATTCAGACCAGAGTATTCAAGATCCCACCATGGGTGTACCTGTTGGCCCTAGCTGTAGTCTAAGGTAAAAAAAAAAAAAGGAAAAAAAAAGTGAAATTGAGCTGCTAGACAAATAAATGAGCTCTGGCCAGTAGTAAACTATCAGATCAATCATTCCCCAAGAACCTCATACTGTGGTTTGTAGCTTGCAATGATCAGTCATCATTAGGTTGTGGGAATAAAAATTCAGTCTGGAATATATTTTTCTTTATTTGAATAGCAATAGCTTTCCCATCTGTCACGTCCTCATTTGCTAGTGGCAGGGCTTGCATTTCCTCACAAGTTGCTCTGATGCTCAGTGGAGCACTGATGTACCAGTGGTGACACTGAGCTTGGTCCTGAGTGGCTTTTTGCCACTTTTCATATATATGAAATTCTTGTCTCAATCAGCTGATTTATGTAAGCACGAAACAGATACCCAGTCTCTTATAACAGGTAGAAAGATGCATTGAAAGCATGAAAATACACATTTTACTCTCACCTCGCTGTCAACAGATTTATGATTCATTCTCTGCTATATCTCATTTGGTCACCAGTGTCTTTCTGCAAGTGCAAAGAGCAGCAACAAGGCACAAAAAGGTTTATGTTTGCAGTCTCATTTACCAAGCTGCACTCCAGCTGTTACTCCCCTTCAAAAGAGGAATTTCTAGTGACTCACTCTCTTGCTGAGAAAAGGCAGTTAAGACCTTTAGGAATTGAAATGATCTCCAAGAACCAGTAGCTTCTCTAGCAACATTCAGCAGAAATTATGTGGATATAGAGCATAGAGACAATAAGCCTTGTGAACCTCTGGGACTAGGAGTGGCATCTGGTTGCTTTTGACATTTTGAATTCTGGATTTGTTGTTTACTGTTGATGCAACTGTTTACCGCAGCTACTTTCCTTTCTTCCTCCTCAATACCCCCAAAAGGCTGCCCAAATCTTACAACCATTGGTAGTTTAGCTGTCTCCCAGTAAAAGTGGCTGCTGGTTGTTTTGGGTTTTTGTTTGTTTGTTTTTTAATCTAAGCTTAAAATTTAAGGGCAACCCTAGGTATTGATTTAATAGAGAATATTTTGCTTTTTTTAATGTGCTTAGGTGCAACTGGCATAGAGGACCGTTTGCAGGATGGTGTTCCAGAAACCATTGCAAGCTTGCGCAAAGCTGGGTTGCAGATTTGGGTTCTTACTGGAGACAAGCAAGAAACAGCTGTTAATATTGCATACGCCTGCAAGCTACTAGATCACGATGAAGAAATCATCACTTTGAATGCTGAATCACCAGTAAGCAGATCCAATATAAAAGTTGACTAATGAATTAGTTTTGCTTTATTTTCAACTTGTATAATTAAAAGTTTGATGGCTTTTTTCCTTTTCCTCTTTTTTTTTTTCTTTTACTTCTTTTTCTGCTTCATCTGTAATTTTCAGGTAGGATATGTCTTTGAATACTTCTCAATGAATCATGCTTCTAAACCATAGCCTCATGTATCACAGCCTTACTGAGAACATGTAATTGTGTGTAGTTAACTCCACCATGAATGAAAATATGCCATAGCAGCATAAATCACTTTCTTCGGTATGCATTTTCAAAACATCCCTGTTTCTGTTTATTGGCACTAATGGGTCTAAAAAGCAACCTGTTATTAAATACATGTTGAGAAAGAAAGCAATTGATAACCTGTTGAGAATTTGTGCTTTATTTTATGCCACTGAAATGTAGTATTTAGATAACTCATTCATGTTTTCTCAGGTGGCTTTTTCTCTGGAGATAGAAGCAATATTTAAATTTTGATGCTAACAGTGAGAGGCAGAAAACCACATCTACAGTAACGCCTTGCTTCCTAACAGACCTTTTCTAATCCTTCTGAATTACTGATCTTTCCTGTGCTCAACTTGTTGCAAGCAGTCACAAAGAGTTTACTGATACGGTCTAACACACAAGGAACCAGACTGATAGTGCTGTAGTCCTTTTATGGGGTGATAAAATTGGACTTCAGATCAGCAGAGGAGAGGTAGGCCATCAGTATTCAGCTCCAATTTCATTCAAAAAGAAAGAAAAGATAACAGCATTTTCCATTCTTGGGTGTATGAACTGAACTGGTAAATTAATTTTCCACAGTTTTTCTTTTTAGTCATACTTTGCTGTAAGACCAATTGCATTTCTTCTAAATGTTCATATATTCTCAATAACATTTTCTAGTTGAGTAAGGCTAGGAGAAAGATTTCAGCTTAAATAACCCTTTAATTGGCCTTTAACAATGCATAACTCTTTGATCTGAGTTGTGGGCGTATACATGGTGCTCATCACCATAATGGTGTTCATCACCCTACTTAACTTGGTACCAATTATATATCATTTCCTAGCACTGTTATTCTGAGAAGGAGCTAAAAGAAATTAATTTAGCATACAAAAGTACATGTTAAAGAAGAATTAGATTTTAAGCCTTTCTACTCTTTACTGTTGTTATACCTTATGCAAGAATTAAGTGTGTTCAGAACAAGTAGAAGATTACTAGAAATCAAAACTTTTAACAGTGCAGCAAATAATACATTGCCCATATTATGCCTAATATGGGCAATGTATTGCCTAAACATACAGCAAACAGAGGCCTTTGAATACATGTTCTTTTCTCTCAAGCATTTCTATTTTGAATTTTTTTTCAGGAGACATGTGCTGTCTTGCTGGAACAGTGTCTGCAATGCGTACAGTCTAAATTTTCAAACACAATAGACGGAGCTACTGGAAACATGACTGTTGGGTTCACCCCTCTCTATCCACCCTCTTCCTCTGTGCTTTCCAGCTTGGGCCTAGTCATTGATGGAAGGACTCTAGCTTATGCCCTGGAACCTGCGCTAGAAGATAAATTTCTTGCACTAGCCAAGCGATGCCGTTCAGTACTGTGTTGTCGCTCTACTCCACTCCAAAAGAGCATGGTAGTGAAACTAGTCAGAGACAAACTCAAAGCAATGACCTTGGCAATAGGTAAATACCTCAGTTTATACTAGCCTGCCTTGATGTATACTGTGACTTGAAAATTTTGATTTTTTTGACATAGGAATAGGACCCTCCCAGCTGCCTCACAACTGAAACAGCCTTCCAGTTTAGTCTGAAAACATGTTGGACAATTCTAATATATTTATTCTAACATATTTAATCAAAACCAGGATAGAACTCTGGAGTAGTAGCTGGGATTTCTTCCTACAGAAGTTAGGTACCAGAAGTTAGGTACTACAGAAGTTAGGACCCAGTTATGCTAAGAGGTTTTGACATGTCTGAACACAGCTGTGAAGAACTGGGTTACCTTATGCTGTGCAAAACACTATTTTGCAATCACTGTGTTACACCCCAAAAAACACTCTGCTCAGTGCTGTTTCATCCGATCATGCTTAAACTCAAGGTTCTGTGTTTATCATCACAAGTCAGCCATACAGCAAAGGCTATGACTTGGCCTTGTCATTATAGAGAGTGGATTTACAGCTGGTATTATGCCACACTTACACTTTTCCCACCTAATCACTCAAAGGCAGAGGGGAGACTTTGGCAGTCCATCTGTCTTAGGTTTAAGCTTACGAGTTGAGCTTAAGCTCTTGCTCAGGCTTAAAGCCTAGCTGTATGCATCCTCTCTTTTAACCAGCATGAGTTAACTTGGGTTGTATCATCTGGTGAGAGGATACCACTCTTAAACATGCCAGCAGCAATGGTGACATGTGGTGTGCACCTCAGCCACTGGACTTTAAAACCAAGTGTCTTGTCCTAAGCTAATACAGTATCATTTTCCATAAGTACACTGGCTACAAGTTTAAGAGGTTAATAACTAGATACTCGTTCTGGTATCCTGTCTATGGCACCTGTCACTTGTCGTGTCGTGGTAAGAAGCAGAGTAGGGGGTGGTGGTTCTGCAACCGTCCTAATTAAATCTGCCATTCTTGGGTGTATTAAAGATCTCAGACTGGTCAACCCTACTCTTGACTTTTTCTTTCATTCATCTGCTTTTTAACTTCCTTTAGTATTTTTACAGTGCAGACATTTTCATTGGCTTTAGGCCTTCTTGCACATTTAATTCTTAGTCATACTTGATGGAAGTCAGACTCTAAATCAGGAAGCAGTATTGGGGACGTTTATTCTCAGCCTTCTACTGTTTTACCACTGGTGCAGTTCAGGCCTGATACCTGAATTTTAGGTATTAAAAAGAGATGGATTTGTTTTATAGTTACTGTCCTGTGATAAAAAGGTCTAATAAGATCAGAATGTCCTGGAAATTTTGCAAGCTTTGAACCTTATATTCTAAAGATGTATCCTTTCCTACTGCACATCTCCCTTACTATACCCAAGCAGCATTTAGTAACCTCTCAATATACTCAACAAACACTCAATAACAACTGTTTTTCCTTTGTTTCGTTGCTGCCAACTGTTGTTGTTCTTCTAGTGACAACAAAACTGCATTTTGTCATCTTTAGGTGATGGTGCTAATGATGTCAGCATGATCCAAGTGGCAGATGTTGGTGTGGGGATCTCTGGTCAAGAAGGCATGCAGGTAAATGTTGCTCATGCAGTGGAAAGCACTCCCATAACGGAATGAAACAGCCGCTTTCTATAGGTCAGATTGTTCAGGCTGCCTCTGGACAGTCAGCACAAATAAAGGAAATGCAGCAAGTTATGCTGAGGACTGCCAGTTCTGTCTATAAGTTCAGTTTATAAGTTCTGTCTTACAAGGGTTCTTTCAGCTTGAGTTTGACCTCACACTTGTTCTGAGATTTGTGATGAGTTTACACACACTCTGCCTTCTCAGAAAATTGAACTTACTACATCCTTCTAAGCAATATGATTAAAAAATAATTAGCCAAATAATTGTTTAAAGGACAAAAAAAGCTCAGCTATGCATTATTTAGGAAATAAATGTTTGTCTTATGCTGGCTTTTATTCTCCTCTCTCTTGGGTATACTTCTATGGAGTGGCTGCACAAGTCAGTACAATTAATGTAGATTATTTGCATGGTATGGTGGTGACACTTAGCCCAGTCACCCACACATGTCACTCACTCAGCTTATTCAGACAGCAAAACAGTAAAGAAAGTAGAAATTGTGGTTCTTTGCAGAACCACTGCTCCTTACACCTTATAGCAGGTCTCGGTTTGGCCTCATTTCTAGTCACAGGGACTGGCAGGATGAGGTTGCTTACCTTGTTGCTTACCTGCTGGATGTGTTCCACCTATAATTACTGCATTTACCACTGTGTAAGAGGCACTTCTCTCATCCCCAGAAGAGATGTGTATGTATAGGATGTGTGTATTATCAGCCTCCTCTACTGCTAGTGCAGATCAGTTGCAGTGTTCAGACCAGACGTGGCAGTAAGACACAGAGAATGAGAAGGATTCTGCACTTCCACAACCTGCCTTGAATTTGGGCAGCTGATTGCATGAGAAAAGAGAGTAGCTGAGTATATGTCAAATAGCTGTACAAGGAAAGTGGGAAGTGTTTACATCCTAAAGACCTGAGCAGATGAGCATGCTCCTTAACTTAGTTACCAGTGGGTGGTTCTCTGACCCAAATTGCATTTTTTGCAACATTGGCTGGATGTTTTGCTCAAAAGGGAAGAGAGATCTCCTTCACACAGCGCACAAGTTGGCTGTAGAGCTTTATTTCATGGAATTTCATGAATGCTGTAATTTATTTGGGTCAACACACAAACTTATGAAACAAAAGTCTAAGTGAGTTATGAACTTGGGTATGAACGTTACGCATTTTCTGACTCCAGATCAGCAGAAGCTAGGGACAGGTCACTAGAGAAAAGTCAGTATTTCTTAGTTATCATACACAATAATTATATATTTCTTATTTATCATACACTTTTCAATCTGTGTGCATCTTCAAATCCTGCATTACTTCTGTAGTATCACTCTGCAGGCAGTCCAAGCTCTAGAGAGCTCAGAGAAGGCTGGTTTTGTGGGCTCCCCTCCAAACCAATCAATACAAAAAGTTTGCTGGAAACTTTTTTCATGGGTCTTACCACCTCTTAATAACTTAACAATAAGCTCTCTCATCTATGTATTAATTCAGATCACTTTTTTCCCTAATGCAGACATAGACTGCTCATAGGATTTTTTAATTTTTCTTTTTACTCCTTGCCCCTTTATGCCACTTTCAGTTAAGCTAATACACTTAAAATAACCAGTCCTCAAATCCCCCTGGCTTTTGCAGTGTATCCACATCTGAAAGCTATTTTTTCCTTAACTCATTAAACTACCTGGTTTTATTTCTAAATGAAAATTCAGCGGAGTGGAAGATGTTTATAGATCCCTTCCCTTACTGCAAGTCCTAAGGAACCACACAGGCCTCTTTACTATAAACAACTGTCAGAATTGTACACACGCAGGTACTCAGAAGGCGTTGAGCATTTAGAAGCCTAAGGCAGCAATACTGTCTGATTTATTTTCTTTCCACATTCTGTGGAAGCATGTGGAGCTGGAAGGGGAAAAAAAAAATAAAATGTGAAAATCAAGTGGGTATTTTGAGCTTAAGTAAACATGCAAATGTAGTTGGATAACATATCTTTCTCTCTGTGTTCCTCACCATAATAAAAATGGAATAAAAAAAGGAAAAAATCGTGACACTTCTCACAGTCTGCTGAGAAGCACTATGTTAGAAGCACAAATGAAGCTAACAGTTTTGTTTTGACATTGGAATAGGCTGAGATGAGGTGGAGGACAAGGAAGCAGACAGCATAGCTGTGTTCCCCTCAAACTGCAAGATAGCTGTATGTCTGCAAGACAAATCAGACTTCTGTGCAGGGAAGTAATAACAAGTGTGTCTCAGTACCTGAGAAATCCTAGGATGTGTCAACATATTAAAAAGTGTCTCAGTCCTTATATATATCTACTGCTGAAACTGCAATGAATTCTTACACCTTCTTTTGCATACTGTTTTAGAGTTTATTTTAATAGCTTCTACAAGCACCTACTTGGGAAAACTGAGCCCTCTTGATGTTTTACCAAGAAAGAGAATTAGGAAAATTTAAAAGGAAATATGTCTCTCGTTTAAAAATATAGCCAAAATATACCCAGCAGAGTGTAAGGAAGATATGGCTCCTTTGGAGTTTTTTGCCTTTTCTCCTGTTTTTGCTGAATTCAATTGTGAGAAGAAAGGTGATACCAAAATAGAAAATGAAATGTAAAATAATATTAAACAAAATCTTAGTGAGGTCCTAGGGATAAGGAAAATCATGAAACAACCATGATAAAAAAATAAGTAGATCTCATCTAGTGTACAGTACCCTGAAATTTAGTCAGAATTAGAGGGAAACTGTGATTCATTTTGTCAGTGTCATCTGACAGTCTGCACAGTCCCAGAGGAGTCTCATCTAGTGTGATTTTTTTCTCATACACAGTTACAGAAAATGTGCAATTTTAAAAATCCCTCAAAATACTGATAGGACAGCCAAGTAAACTGTATAAATGAGGTCTGCAAATTAAATTAAAACTAATATTTCTATTGTTTTGTCTTTTAAAGTCAAATCAGTATGATGCAACCACTTAATTATGCTGTTCTTATCTTATTCTCTGGAAATTCATTTTTCTTTGTAAGTATGCTGTCATTTTTACAGAGAAAGATACAGCCACCAAGGTGTTCACACATGAACCCTGAGCCTTCATGCTCATGAAACTGCAATTGCCAGCCATTCTCCCACCTCTTGCTTTTTGTTGTTGCTTGTCACCATCTGCAATGTAGGCTGTAATCTCCTCTGGGTGAGGACCGGTTTGCCTTGCATGTCCTGCCAAGCTGCCGCGTTTGCTCATGAGTATTTCAAATCCATGCAGCAATAACTGCATTTCATAAGCACTGTCATGAATTTCATTCTTCATGAGTACAACTTCCACTGACTGTAGGAGTCGAGAATATGACTAGATTAATTGTTAGTGTTGAAGGTGCTGCTTTACAATAATGATTCCAACTTCTGTTTCATTAAAGGCGGTGATGGCAAGCGACTTTGCAATCCCGAGGTTCAGGCATTTGGAGAAGCTTTTGCTTGTTCATGGCCACTGGTGTTACTCCCGACTCGCCAACATGGTGCTGTATTTCTTCTACAAAAATGCAGTAAGTGTTTGACTTGGCAGCTTTATAGAACCACATGTTTCCAGGGTTTATTTTGTGCTAAGTGAGCATTAGGTCAGCCTTCAAATGGTTTATAAATAAGCTGCAAAGAAATGTGCAGAGCTGAAAGACAGCTGGCTGCCATTTGCAGAAATATGGGACCCACTCCATAACAGCTACAGTGTGCTGCTGAATGTGCAAATTAGGTAACACAAATAACAAGAACTGCTGAAGAAAAGTTTCTTTAAAGAACACTTTTGCAGAATTTAGCTGGCTGGGTACAGGAGTCTTCAATGCCAAAGCCATCCAGCATTAGTCCCAAGTAGCAGTTGAGTGTGTTTGCTCTTCCTGACTGTATCTCATCATAGTTTATGAATCACTGTACGTATTGCCTAGTGACTTGAGATAATTTGAGTCCTCTCTCTGTCTCAGATGCAGAGTCTGGGAAGGTTTTTTTTCTTGATTTATCTTATTTCCAACTAATCAAAAGAGTTCATTAGAAAGGAAGTACACGGTGGTAAAGAACAGATGACGGGTCTGTGTTTCCTCCCTGGTGTATGAAACAGGACTCAATCCAGTACTGGGCATCGAGCCAGAAGCAGCTCAACTCCTTGGCCTCAATAAAGGCCCTTTGCATTGATCTTGGAGTACAAAGGTGATTGATTGAAAACAGCCTAACAAGGAAACCAAGAATACCACCACCTGGGTGGGAGTCACTGGCGGGCACATATATTTGCTCACTTGCAACAGCTACAAATCACCTTGGGAGCAAAGCATGTGAAGAAGCAAGAAAAAGAGGAGAGCTGGAGCTCTCATACCTCTGTTTGCTTCAGAGGCCAATGTATGAATTGTGTGCAGGAGACTGGATATTGTCCTCAGTATCAGAAAAAAGTGGCTTTCCGTTTTGTAAAAGTTGCTTTCCAATTTTAATATAATCCTCAATTTTTATCAGAAGAAAACCATAATTTGCTCAAAATTTTGGACATCACCGGAATACCTAAGAATGTTAAAGGACTAATGAAATGTCTTTTTGTTAAAACAAGCATGTTAAAATACCTTCTGTGGTCAAAGCAGGGACTGCATGCAAGTGCCCTTTCAGAAACAGAAGAATGAAGGGAGTTTGTGATCTGAGCTGCTGCTTGAGTCAGAAATAGCAAGCAGATTTAAGGAATGCTGTACTGAGGGGAGAGCCACCTGTTGAAGTACAGCAGTGAAATATGTGGTTGTGTTCGATGCATCAGTTAAAAGGCTTGATCCTGAACGATGCTGAACATCTGTACTCCCACTGAACATCTGTACTCCCTCTCCCAGTGCTGGATGTTTTCAAGATACCCATTGACAGTATCAAATCCAAACTTTCCAAGAGGTTTATGTATAGCCATCTTACATTAAAATTTAAAAAATAAACACAGAAGTAATGCACATAAGACACTCCAGCAATCAGTAGCCAGAGATGCTGTTTATACATTGACACTTTTGTTCATCTTGGGTAAAATCTTCCATTTTCTTTGGTACAGCTGCCCTTGATTACAAGTATTATTTCTCATGCCATTTTTAATAAGACATCTTCAGAAGCTACTGACTCAAGGCTAGAAAATAACTGAAGACATCTCTTTGTGTTGCTTGTGTTTTGGCAGCCTTCAAAGCTTTCTGAGAAATACTTGATGCTTTTGACTCTAAACTGTAGTTTGATATCCAGCATATAGCCATAAATATGTCTGACACAATGCCTGCCTTAAGGAAAGATTCTTAAAAATAGAAAGGAGCACCTGAACCTTTTGCAAGGAGACCATTCTGGATGATTCTCCACAGAGAGTCAAGACAGCTATACTGCAGATGTCCTGCAAGTTTTCTGGTTGCTCAAGTGGGGTTTTTTTCCTCATTTGTTCATACCATGAAATTTTCCATTCTCCACTATAACCTATCCAATTTAAAATTTAAACTTCACATTGCTGAAAAAGGCATTTGGAAACTTAAATGACTTATCCAAGAAGATGCTTGGCTTCATGGAGATGATAAAAATGCAAGTAAAATATAAACTAAAACATAGCATGACTGGAAATATCTGAGCTTGATGAAAAGGGATTTCATTTTTCATTTTCATAAACAAAATTTTACCTGCATAAGCATGCACATCTTCCCATTTATACATTGTCTCTGCAAGACAGCACTGAAAATTTTTGACATATACTTCATTCACTGAGAAATTCTCCCTGGGACCACATTCATAAGACAGCCTCATCTGGCAGGGGAAGAAGGGAAACCTTCTTTATTTAAAATCTTTATGTAAATTTCTTTTGTCTTTTTCAGAGAGATAATACAGAGTCAAGAGAGAACATTTGAAATAAAATTAAAAACTTGTTTAAGACAAAATAAAATCTCAGGAGGAAAAGAAATCTGATTTAAGCCTCATTTATTTATATAGCTTTCTTCAACAGCATTATTAAGATCCATAGTAGAGGTGGTAGGAAGATGTTCAGCTGAATTTTCAGCAGTATTTTCATCAAACTACCTATTTTTGCCAGAGCTAAACTGTTTCCAAGACAGATTAGCAAGTCTCTAGAGAGAAAATTTACTATGTCCAGGATTAACTGCATTTTGTTTTGAAACAGTGAGAAAAAAGTATATAAATTCACATATTTATTGTAATTCCTTTTTGAGAAATTACTCAAGAAATTTTGTTTGATTTTGGGTGTGGAAAAAAAATACTTTTCAAAATAAGTTTGATTTTGGAATGAAACTGCCATGTCCCATACAACTGTACTGAAGAGGGTAATCTTTGGTAACTCAGTCTTGTTTGGCATAGAGGAAGATATTTTTCTTGAAAATATCAGAAACATTTATAGAGGTTGTGCTTACAAAAATACTGTTAGGTTTTTAATAAGCTTTACCTAGGTTATTTGGGAATTAGCTCAATAACAGTGAGCTGCTCAAATTCAAGCCACAAACCACTTCAATGTATTATGTAAACTTTGTCTGAGCGTTTATCTATTTAAGTATGTGTGTGTGTGTGTATATGTATATATATATATACATACATGTGTATGTACATTTGTATACTGCAGGACTGACATCTTATTCTGTGGCAATTCCCCTTTACAAGACAGGTTTATTTTACTCTCTTTAAAGCAGCTTTCACTGACTAAGCACACCATAGCCTTTTTTTTTTTTTTTGTATGTTTAATTTTCAACCACATTTGGGCACACAGATAGAACAGATCTGTAGTTTCCTCTGTATATCTAAAATTCATGAAGAGTTAACATTCTCCATCTCACTGAAAGCTTTTTGAGAACAGAATACAAAAAGAAGTGAAAGCAGAGGTCATGCCATTTCCCATTTTTATAGTTAAAAGGAGTAAAACCCTTAACAGTTTCCAACCATTTTCTGGTTTTAATCACTTTACAAAGAATAATACAATTTTACTTTTAGGAGAACCAAGCCTGGGAATTTATTTCCTTCTCTAGGAAGATGGCCATCTTTTTCTAGGCCTCAAATCCTTCATCAGTATCTGAAATCAGCACCTTTTCTGAGCCCTCTGAATTCTCCATGCTGAAGAGATTGTAGAAAAAAATTAGTTGTGTGGTTTGTTTCTTTTTGGGTGACTCCAACACAAGTAGATGAACAACCCCTCTGCAGCTGTGTATACAGCTGATTTCTTCATAGGGCTGAAGAAGAAGAGAGGTTGAGGAATCTTTACAGTTTCACCTTCCTTACTGCTGCTGGTCTCGTGTTGATCTTGCAAAAAAGCTCTACATTTATCTGTTGTAGACCAGAAAAGTCTCCCAAAACATCTTCAGCCAGCAGAGGATATTATTGTGGAAAATCTTGTCCTTACAATGGTTGTGTAAGTGCTGTGACATCAGTACTCATTTGCCTGGAGGTCGGTGGTAGCTGGGAGAGCTTTTTACAGTTACTTAAATTTCACTTCAGTGTTTCACTTGAACTAAAAGTTAATTTTGTGTGATGCCCAAGATCTGAGGTTCCAGCAGCACAAAGACTTGCAGGTGTGTCAGATGTTTGCAGCTTAGCCAAGTGGTCCATGCATCAGGAAGTGAGTTAAAGAGTAGGTATTCTCACAAAGATTGCTCATGTGTTCAGCATTCACAGATAAGTCTTTGCTGAGCTGGAATCAGAATGGTTTCAGAACACAGTGGGATGATGGTCCTCCTTATCTTGTTATATTTACAGCATTGTTTGTTCTGTTTCAGATGTTTGTGGCCCTTCTCTTCTGGTACCAGTTCTACTGCGGGTTCTCTGGCTCATCAATGATTGATCAGTGGTATCTGATCTTCTTTAATTTATTCTTCTCTTCTCTTCCACAACTGATTACTGGTGTGCTGGATAAGGATGTGCCAGCTGAAGTGTTAATTGCTGTACCTCAGCTTTATAAAAGCGGACAGAATATGGAGGTAAAAATTTCTTGATTACTGTAATTTCTTTCCTGAACATCTTTCATTTCAAAAACCAGCCCTGCTCTCAAAGGGTAGATCACTGGTAAATACAGTCTGAGAAGTTACTGTTCCTACTTTGTGATATTTCTTATCTGAGTCAAAATGCCAAAAGTACAGCTAAACAAAAGACACACAAGCAAACTAACAAAGTCCCAACCGGCTACATTTTTAATATGTGCCAGGAGAGAAGGCTGGGTGATTTAATTCAACCTAAACTGAACACCTCCTTCATGGTCCAGGCTCACAAATAACCACAAAACTAAAACAGATTGCACCTTGTAGCTAGTGCAGGCTTTTACAGAATAACCTCACAATACTTACTCAAAACTTCAGTTCCCAGTCCTTTAGAAAAAGAAGAGAAAGATGGCCTTGGTAGTAAGCACGATAAACTTAGTCTCTGAGGGAGGTAGTCACGGATGATAGATTCAGCTGAAATATCTGTTGAAAACACCTTGTCACCATCTGCTTGAATTGCACAAGGAAAACAGAAGGAATTCAGGTGGAATTTGAGCCAAACCATTCCCGGTAATTACAGGTAAAGTGTACTGTGGGAAAATCTTGCTGTTTGGCAAAACTGTCTATTTGGGGATGTTGCTTTGAAGGCTAAAGCCTTCTTTAAAGTGTCTTACAAAGCTGTCTTCTGAGAGGACACAGTAAGTGGTTTTTACCTCCAAGTGTACACCTGTATTTGGTACCCCACACATGTAGTGGCAGTGCTAGATACTCTCCTGGAAAAATGAAAAGAGAATTTGAGTGTAACTTTAGTCCATTAGTCCAAACTCTATCCTTTTCATCTGTTGTTTTCTGTTTTCTACATTTCTTCTGTTTCAGTGCATCACACTTGAAAGATCTGTACTATTAATATCTTCCTCTCTTGCACATTTTTAGGATGATAGAAATCTTGTAATGCCTTAAGGCTTGTTGGGAGGTTATGTCTGCCTGTCTTCAGCTGGCAAACTGAGAAGTCTCCCAGGTTCACAGAACAGTTATTTCTCATAGAGAAGCTCAGAGATAATTCTAAGTTGTTTTTGTTTTTTTTAAATCTATTGATCGTATTCTCTTTATAGATACCTAAAAAGGCATTTTAAAAACTTTAAAATCCTGTTTCAGGTGGGATCTCTTCCCAAAAGGGCCTGTTGTATTATAGAATAGTTCAGATGGCTCTGGAAGCCATCTGATCCAGACCCCTGGTAAAAACAGCTTCAAACCTGGAGAGGTTTCTCAGGTCTTTAACTAGTCTAATTTTGAATATCTCCAACACTGGAGATTCCACAAACCCTCTGAGCACCCTGATGTAGTAATTAACCATGTTTGTTCAGAAGGCCAAGTAACACCATCATTCTTTCTAAGCATCTTTCCATTCCCATTTTTAGTCTACAATGATATTTTCCACAAAAGAAAAAAGATGTAGTTGAACCTGATGAACACAGTTCATCATGTTGGAGATGTAGAATATGTACCAAAATTTTATAAACATTTTGTCATTTATAAACTATTTATCCTTGTATGTAGGTCCCTTATATGACCATCCATACCCCTGAAATTGCATATTTCTGTAAACCAAAATGTTAGTTTAATATTGGTTTTATCAAGCAATTTTATGCACATACTTAGAGATATGTGTTTATATATATATATATATATATGTTTTATATACATATTTATAGCATATATTGCTACGTGAATTGCCACTAGAGACCTTTGTAGTGGATGTTCTCTAAGTAAATGTGCATTTTCTGTTTTCTCTTTTGCCAATATGATGTTGCTTATGTGATGTAGAACCCATTTATTCATGTTCATTAGTGATCTGACTGTAGTGCATAAAATAGGGCACCTTCACAAATATTTTCTGGCCTGAGCATCAAATTCAAATTACACCCTCTGCCAGGATAAAAAAGAAAAAAAAGGCGAAATACTTCATCTCAGAACAGAGTGACTTGCAGGTAGACTGTTCATGCTTCATCCCTCAGGGTAGCTGAATGACTGGCAAAGTTATGAAGCTGTTTGCCCAAGCCCTTAAAACTGCCCTTGAAATATGCCCCTCAAAATATCAATCCTGGAAGATAGCATCTTCATTATGATCTGATTTTCTTAATTTCTTTTTTTTAATGACACAGGAGTACCAACCACACATGTTTTGGATGAACATGATTGATGCTATGTATCAAAGCCTGGTTTGCTTCTTCATCCCCTATTTTGTAAGTGTTTGGTTTAAGCCATTCTATTTCAAGCATCTGGAGGAGAACTGGCAACACAGCTTGGGCTAAATTCTGTCTTCTTTCTTACAGACTTACTATGATTCAGAGGTGGATATCTTTTCTTGGGGAACTCCCATCACCACAATAGCTCTTTTCACCATCATCCTGCATTTGGCTATTGAAACCAAAACTTGGGTAAGGTACCCACAGCCTACATAGAAACTCTCTAGCATAGACACAATTCTTCTCTTAGTGCCACCTTTCAAAAACATAAGATGGTTTCTTCTTTCTCTCAGCACATTCTGTTTTTAGCAGACATTTATAAAAAGCATGGAAAAGGTTTTAAAATATGATCTGCAAACTGCTTTGTAGTGTTGTATCTATAATAAGAATTTTTAACTAGAGAAGGCTCTAAACTCTTTGCCATGCATGGATTTGACTCCACAAATTAAGAAGTTTTAATTTAATTTAGCCACAGCAAATTTCTCAGAATATAAAGAATCATTATACTTACATTGGTTTTTTTGGTTGTTGTTCTAGACTTTTCTCCACTGGTCATCTTGCATCTTCAGTATCATTTTATTTTTCTTTGTGGCTCTGGTTTACAATGCTTCCTGCCCAGTCTGCCATCCTCCATCCAATCCCTACTGGACCATGGAAAGGCTGATGGGAGACCCTGTGTTCTATTTCACTTGCATTATATCACCAGTTGTTGCATTGCTGCCCAGGTATTCTGTCTTCTCTCATATCTTTTCTTGTTTGTAAAGGCACTACATGCATTTGAATGGGAGAGCAAGAACATTTTCCACCCCCCATCTTTTGTTTTGACTACCAGCCAACTCAGTTTCTTTCAGCAGCTGATTATTTGAAGCCAGGTCTAACCTATTCTGTGCTCCTGACCACATGAACAGACCACAGCTCCTGGCCAGGGAGCACAGGAATGGGGTAATTGTAGACTGGTGGTCAAACCTCCAGGCCATGCAGAGGTTTCCTACCCTGTGAGGTGTTCTCTGATGCTTCTGGATTCAGTCCATCCTCACATAAAATGCAGAGTACCCGAATACGTTAATGTTTATAAGTATGTTGTGGACCTACTTGCCAATTTGTACATGTAGGAGGCTTGCTCTGCAGATTTATCCCCATTGCCTTTCCTCATCAGGAAAGATGAAAGACCGTGTGTAATCACAAGGTGGATCACTGGCTAAAGATACAGATTTGTTACACTGCCTAATTAAGTTATTAATCAAAATATTAGCACAGCATTCAGAGCTGTCCATCTGCAAGCTTTCTTGTGTAGAGCGTTATTTTTCTACGTTGTACTTTTGTCTTGAATATTTTCCCTTAATAATGTATTGGATATTTCCCTCCTTCATTTCTTTTCACATGCCCATTCTCATCTTGCAGATTCCTGTACAGAACCCTTCAGGGAACTCTGTTCCCCACCCAGCTTCAGCTTGGACGCCAGTTGAGTAAACTGTCCCCAGAGACTCGCACCCAGCTCCTCACCGAGTTGAATGTAAAGGAGACAATACGTCAGACACAACTCCTGGCAGACAGCTTCTCCCTGAGCCTTGGCTCAAACGCTAGCCATTGTTATAGGGCTAAAAACCAAAGCACTCCGTTGCCAGCCTCTCCTCAAACAAGGGAGTCACTTTTCCGAGAGCACACAAAGGCAGAACATAAAACAGATCAGACTGCGGCTGCCTCTCCCCAGGGTGCTGTGTTGTATGAGGAAAACAAGCTCCCCTCATCAGCAGGTAGTCTGGAAAGGTCCGTGGGGTTTCACGACGTTCGATGTGGCACCTCGGAGGTGGAGTCATTGTCTGTGGGAACCACACTCCCATGGAGCTCAGCAGTCGACCAAGAAGACTTCAGTTTGTTGAAGTGGATCACATCAACTCCACTGTTCAGTCACATTGGGACTGTTTTACAGGTGTCATCAAGCAGTTTACAAAATGAAACGCGGGACAGTATTTGTGTGCTTGGCTCTTCTTTGCATGTGGACTTCAAAGGCTTAAAAGAAGAGAGCTCAAATTGCTTGCAGGACAAAATGAAAGGAACCCCAACTGATCATTGTAAAAATGAAAATTCCGAGACCACCTTTTTATGATGTGGGCCATAAATATATTTATATATTTTTTATTTGCACACATTTATAGTGAGATTACTCTATATGTTTCCAAAGGTGAAACAGAAAATCAAAGGTACAGAATGATTATTTAAGAATGTTTAAATACAGTTTATTGAAATAAGAGCTTTAAATATAAAAAGAAACACTTGAAAGTTCCATTTATATTGTTTTATTTTTTCATCTCATTTTGTAAGGAAATGCCTTTTCTTTATTTTTCAGATGCTTCTCTTTTATTCTGACACGTACTGTAAAAGCAAAGGATTTATCTACCATATTTGAAAGGATTAGATTCAGCAACAATTACTGATATCATTATAGGCCATTCAGTAATCAAGGAGGAAAAAACATGTTAATAAAGAGTCACTATATTCCATCCATCATCTGCTTGCCAGTGTATTTTGTCACTGAGGCAAAGCTATGGAATTATTATACACCTCTCTGTAAATGTTAACAGTATCCTACCACCACATTAATAATACTGCTATTTTATAAATGACACCATGTTCTGATATTGCAGCCATAGCATTTGATGTGTTGTGATAAAACAATAAATAAATGACCATCCATATTGCAAAGTGACTTCCCAGTCTGGCATTAATTGTAACTCAGCCCTTCCCTTGGAGTAGCTGGTGTTTGGCTGGGCGTGGCCTTGCATCGTGCTGTAGAAAAAGCTCGCTTCTTGTTTGTAAGGAGTGATTTGGTGGCAAAGAACTGGTGCCTCATGTCTGCTGTACAGTTTGAGCTGGGAAGCCTGTGATCTTGGGAGCTGGAGCACTACCACAGCCACTGTCACCAAAGAGGTTTGTTCTGCCTGCTCATGGGGTGAAGGACAGGCAGAGTGGAATTTTGTGAGACACCTTTTCTGTTGTTTCAGCCAGGTTAAATTGAGTCCTTGGGGATGGTGAAGCCAAATGACCAGCTCTGAGGGTACATGCTAAGCAGAGGTATTTGAGCCTGGCTTAAAGCAGGCTATCTCCAGCCCCAAAAGCAGGAAGCTGCTTTCTGAGCTTATCTCTGAGCCAACCTCACATGGTTGTAAATCCCAGACTGCCACTGGTACAGGGGTGTGTGGCTGCCCTGTGCCAGACTGATGGATCCCAGGGGCTTTAGCCTGGAATGTTGCTTGGTTCTTTCACACCTGGTCACCATCACCACAGATGAACTATCCGCTGCACTTCTCCTCATTGCAGGTTTTCATGGCCTTTGTATTGCTTGCCATCAGTTTTTAAGATTTATGTACACTGGCCTCTTTCCCAAAGGCTGAATTGATAATATGATACTGTAAAATGCCAATGAAAGGAAGAGATGAAAGCAATGTAAATAAGAGCAGTCAGCTTGTAAATTCGTTACCCTCATGAAACATGACACATCCGTATGTAACTAAACTGCATTTTGGGATTAGAATTGACTAGGGACACAGGAAAGGCACTAAGGGACTCACTGTTGCAGGCTCCTGTGAACAGCTTTTAGCATATGATTGATTTGAAAAATATGAACCTGAAGCTGAACTTCTTCCTTTTACCCTTGAGTTAAAGAGCATTGGTTTATATGTAAAGGTTTTAGTGGAGGAAAGCACACCTATTGACTCGTTTGTTACTGGCTAAAAACATGCTGGCATTCCTCTGCTATATTAATTGTGACAGAAATGGTGCACTTGGAGTGACCACTTATTTTCCACAAAGGCGGGTGGGCATCTGCCCTGTCAGAGCCACCACGAGCCAGGAGTGTGGGTCTTGGCACACCCCTCAGAAGCAGGGCAGATGCCGTGCCCTCAGAGCACTCTCCACTCACTGGCAAGGGAGCCTGCAGGACTCAGTCTGGCTGTAGGAACCTGCTTTGCAAAGGTCCCTAGCTGTGGCAGACAGCTCCCTGTTGAGGTACCTGCTTGCTCTACCAGCCTGCTCGGGCCTGTTAGTAACTGTTGGGATGACTTTGCAGGTGATTTTCTTGTGAGGTCAGCTGGCTGTATTTAACACATCCTGTGCAGATTGCCATTGGAAAGAACTCATCTGTGTGGAGATGCAGTGTCTTTTAATGTCAGAGGAGAAGTCAAATGACACATTGAAATGTGTAAATGTTGCCGTTTGGTTAGAAACCTTCATCTGATTGTAAAACAGGTTCTCACAGAAGGACACGGTGTCAGATACCAGGTGGGCAGAGTTCAGAGGTTTGCAGAATGTTAAATTCAGTCTAAGAGTGTCATGGGGTCATAGCAGGAGCTTGCCAGGGATGCTGCAGGTGTGTGCCCTCTCAGTTACTGTAGCAGCCCTAACAGCCAGGTGAGGGTCTCCTGGGCTTATTGACTCCTCTGCATCAGGAGTCACCTCCTTCTCACAGCAGGACTGGTGTCCCACAGGCCTTCATGGGATTTTCTAGCGGCAGAAAGGGCTGGAGCATCACTGGGCTTTGTCTCAGAGCTGTATTTCATGATACCCTTTTCGAAAAGAACATAAATTCCTCTCTGGCCATGACTTTGCAGTACAAGATTTGGTTTTGTTGTTGTGCTTTCAATGTTTCAAAGATTATTTCTTTGGTAGGCAAGGGATAGAAGGGTTCCTTTGGGACTGAGAGGTGCTCATGCACTGCCAGATAGATGTGTTAAGTTGCCACTGTGGGTGTGACTTGAACATCTGCATCATATATTAAGGGAAACTCTAGATCTCAGTCCTCAGTTGCTGTAACCATCATAGCATCTCCAATATCTGCAAGCTGACTTAACCCAGCTGGGAATCGGGCCTCCACAGCTGCTCTATTTTTTTGCAAAATAAAAATTAACTTAAAAAATCCTTAGAGATTTATTTTGAAATACCTAAGGTGTAAATTAATCCCTTCATACTAAAAAAAATCTTTATCATGGCAGCAATCCTTCAAAAATGAATTAATTTAATCTTAAATAAACCAAATAATCCTGCTGACCTGAACAGAGCAGTGGCCTCAGCAGGGTTTCTGGTGTGCCTGCAGATAGGTAGGAAGATGTGCCACACTGAGGCCAACATGTGCCAAACCTGCCCAGCGAGTTACCTGCAGGCAAGAACCAGGTCAGGTGGATGTCTGCAGGCAAGTTGTCTCCATTTTCTTTTGGGAGATACATTGTAAATAATATCAACAAAATGTAATTTAAACCAAAGTTTAAAAGGGAGAAAAAACCCAAACAGACTTCACATTTGGAAAGAAAACATTAAGCAAACTAATTATTTACATTTTAAATCAGTTCTCTCTTCAGCTGCCAGAAGACAAACACATCAAAGCATGTTACTTGCTGGGCTTTAGGACTTGTCAACATTTTGAAGCTGCTATTAATATTTGAAACATTTTAGCTAAATAAATACTAATTGCTTTTTGAAGCTGTATACATTGATTTTAATAAAATAGAATAAACTTGTAAAGTTATTCCTCTAGCTGCAGTTGAACCGTTATATCAGGCAAAACAAAGCTTTAAATGTGTGAGGATAATCCACAAAAAGCATGCAACTATTTATGAAATAAGGCAATTAAAACAATACCCATGTTTGGTCTTTTACCAACAACAGCCCCCTGTACACTGTTTGAAATAGTTGCACTGAATTCTGCAAGCACTTCTCTGTCTGCTTGATGTTTTTGGCTGAAGTAGTCCGGATGAAATTAATGACTGAGAAGAAGAGAGTTGTGAATTAAGCATCACAGTGTTCCATACTTCTTAGTCTTATTTATGTGAACCAATTTCTCAGTGATTTATCCATTTCAAAAATTCCTTCTGGATGTATAAAGATCTTCTAGAAACAGCCAGAAGTGTTCTATCAGGATGGTTCTCTAATCTCAGAAATTATATCTCATGCATATGCCAGGGCACTAGAACTGGGCAATAAATGTCAAAACAGGAACAAAACAACCTTCCAGTGTTTTTTCCAGGCTTTTCCAGCTATACATCACTGTTCTGTGTGCCCAGTCATGAATCTGCTTTCCACCCTCCTGCACTGGCTGTGAAACCACAGCCATACACCCTGATTAAAATTTCCTCATACCTTTTCAGATTATTCAAAGACTGCTCTTGCCTCTCTTACATGTCTTCCTCAATGACCTTGCACTGAACTTTATCATTTATTCACACCCAATTCACTGCTCAGGGCAGCGGTCTGTGCTTGCTCCCAGCACATCTCCTGTAGGCTCTACACACTTAATCAACAAGCACTGCTCTGTTGTGCCTTAAGCCACCTTACACACACACACACAAGGTGTGGAGGATTTGAGGAGGTTTACTCATTCAAGCTGCCATATAAAAGGGTTCTGCATGAATACTGGTTTCAGTAAATGGAGATGTTCAGCTTAAAATAAACTGTCAGAACTGTGTGTGCTTGAATCATCTGGGAGTGACGATTTATAATATAAACATAAATCTGCATCAAAACTTGAACTAAATAAATACATTTTTAAAAAGTCTCATGGTTTTGCAGCAGCTGGTTCTTGATCCAGACTGATCTATGCCTTGGGCTTTCTTCAGTGCAACATTAAATGCAGCCATGTGCTTTTGTAAGGGAGCACACATGACAGTTCTGAAAACTGATGCTGATAGAGCCATGCACTGTGATGGCACAGTAACAGGTGTGTGTCAAAGGCACTGCAGAAACCATGAAAATCAGGGGCATGCAGGTGTAGCAAAGTGGGGAAGGAAAGGCACTGCTGGATGCTATTCAGAAGTCCCATGGGATAAGGGGATCTTCAGAGCTTCCCAACTGCCTTCTTTAGCCTTTAAAAAGGTTCTGCACCCTCTCTGCCTGCTGGTGGACTTGGCTCCATTAAGCTTAAATTTCACTGGAGCTGTACCACAAGTGAATTTGTTTTGTTTCTTGCAGCTGAGAATGGATAAGGGGTTGGAACTGAACTAATGCTGACTCAGAGGGAGGTAGGTTGGCACTTCCTTTGCAAACAGGAATGTGCTGGCTGTGCCCTGGTCAGGAGCTCTCCCAAGCCAGGGACCAGGGCAGGTCCCACTGCTGGTCCCACAGTTCCTCCCTGTGCTGAAAACCAGGGCAGGAGCCATAGCAAAGGGACCCCCAGTGCCCTCCCAGGCCAAGCAGCTCTCCTCTGCTCACTAGGCTGAGACCACAGATTTGTCTGTGTCAGTGTCCTGGTAGTGACCTGGAAGGAACAGATAACATGGCAGAGAAACTTCCTGCTCCATGAGGAATCTCCTGTGCCGTTGCATAAAAGCCTCCGTGTTTCTCTCCCATCTCTCCAGTATGAATCCTGGCCATCAGAAAGCCATGGGATGGCTGCACTTCCTGCAGTGGAAGATGCTATGGGGAGTCCTCTGCTGCCTCCTGAAGGGACCCCTGAAGCGCCTGCACTGAGGCCACTGCCCCAGGGGTGAGTGGCACCTTTGCCAGTAGCAACAGCTCCATTGGTCACCCCCTGTGCCTCTCACTGAGGGTCCTTTCTGCTGAGGGAGACTCTGTGTGGTCACAGCCCATGTATCTTCAGCTGAAAAATGCAACAGCACAATGTTTTGCCCCGGATTAAGAGGTTCAGCAGGTAAAGATTTACAAATGTCTCTGGGTCTGGACACCCATATCCAGACAAGGGTTTTCCAGCTGTCCTGGGCT